AGCACCCCGGAAAGGCTGGAGGCTTGGCCTGGCACTGCCACTAGCTTAGTTTTGTTTTCTTAAAGATGCAGGAAGTCTGTAGGTCAAAGCAGAAACTGCTTCCACTGGTCTTGTGCACTCTGAAGTTCATGCTGCATGGAGCTGATTCTACACTGCAGAACCAGTCAAGGCTGTAACCCTGACTCCCCTGCTACCATAGCAACCTGTTGGCTCAGAATGAATTGAATTATGGGATTATCAGTAAGGAGGAAAAAGAGAGGTATCTATTTTATTTGCTCTTTAGTTGTCTCGATGTAATACCCATGGATGGGGAAAATCAAGGAAAAATAGCTTGCTATTTTTAATCAAAATTGCATTTTAAAATTGTGTGTGTGTGTGTGTGTGTGTGTGTGTGTGTGTGTGTGTGTGTGTATACCATGGAGGTCAGAGAACAAGTTTCAGGATTTGATTTCCTCCTTCCACCTGTGAGTCCTGCATGAGATCTGACTCTGCAGCACCTTTGTATGCTGAGTCATCTCAGTAGTTCCTAAATTGCACTTTTAAAAAGCAAACACAAAAACAAAAACCTTGTTGTTAAATAGCCTTATATCTGTAGAGATTATCTTCCCATCAATGTCTCTTCTTTGGGAAATGGATGACAAATAACTCTGCTAAATAATTCTTTATTTCTCCAAAATGAAGGGATTTCAGCAATAATAGCAGAAAAGATAATCATATCACATGGAAACTTCATCTCTTCTGTTTTCCCTGCCCACATTGGCTGATTTTAGAATAAAATGGGATTGTCAACCTAATATAACCCTGAATTGTTGATTTCTACCACCCACAAACCTCTCAACGATTCTCAGGAAATGGACTGATTTAAATTGGACCCAATGACAATTAGACTAGAACATGTTGTTTCAGAACCACTTTCTCCACATAGTTACAGCATAAGGGACAGAAAGTAACAGGCTGAGAAAACAGTGTATCAGGGCTGGGGCAAGAGGAGGAACGACAGCAGCTACTACATCAAAAATGAGAGAGGAGAGAAAGGGAGAGGGAAAGAGAAAAGGAGAGGGAGAGGGAGAGAGACTGATAAAATAACAAACCTCAAAGCATCAGCAATACATTTTCCTGGGAGTAGAAAACACATACAAATACGTATGTATCTTGGGTCTTCTACAAAAACAATTCCTGACATTTGCTATGACGAGCCATCTAGAGTGTAAGCAGTAGTGAACACCTGGAGACAAGCTTGCCATTTCACTGTCAGATCAAAGGGAGTAAAACCAGCTAGGGGTTCTCTATCCTTGTTTCTTTCTGCCCTTGCAAACTTCCAAGATTAAAGCCCCAGGGCATCCTAGTCTTCCAAGGGTCAGGAATAACAGCTACAGAGTAAGCAGCATCAGCTATAGCAGCCACGTGTTCTAACATTTGATAAATGTTGATAAATGAAGTAACATTTATCAACATGTGGCTAATGTCCACACCATTATAGCAGAAACCTTTTTTCTTCTGTGGTCAAAATAACTATAATTTTCATCTATATTGATTCTGAGAAATAGTAAGTAGGTGTAATTTTGTTGTGCTAGAAAGCTGGTGCGTCTGAACAGATGGCCTAATCACATCGGGGCTCTTTTGATAATGTGATGTTACACTGTAAATATAACTGAACCTGGTCTTCATGAGCTGGAGTGTTTTGTCTGGGCTCTTCTGGTTAAGCTTCAGACATGTGTGAGCTCCCACAAAATTTCTATGTCTTCTTGTAATAGAGATGAAAGACTTGACACCAAAGAATATTTAAATCTAGATCAAAGGTTATGTTTTCTCCCATTTATTTCATTACGTGAACATTTAGAATAGCTCTTACGCGATCTGTTTTGAGACAACAAGAACATTTACTAATGTAGCAGTGTAATAGTGTGACATATTTCACACAGGCTCATCTGTCTGAATACTGGATCCAAAGCAGGTACTGCTCGAGAGGTTATGGAACCTCTGGAAGGTGAAGTCTCACTGAAGGAAGTGGGTTGTTGAAACTGGCTGCTGTCTGGCACAGTTTCCTGTCTCACAGGATCTGCTTCACATCATACTTTCCATCACCTGATGACTGTATGTATCATCAAATGGGCCAGTATGATCTAGGTAATCCCTGAGAAGTGCGTGCTATATGAGAGTTATACTTTATGGAAAAAGAAGGGATTACAGACAGTAAAAAAATAAGCAAGGAAGAGTGCTGGAAGGAAGCAGAAACTTTAAGGGTCAATTAGGTTCTCTTAGAAAAATAAATTGGAGGGGTGTTCACAGAAGTGTGTACCAGGTTTCTGTTTATAATTGACTTGAGTATAAAAAGGTATAGACTAAACAGCTGTAGAATATTGGGAGTTAAGATTCAGAAAAGTAAAATTCAAGTGTAGGGAGGCCAGGATGTGAGAGGTGATGACAACTTGGAAGCCTTGTTGCAAAGAACACAAAGCAAAAATTGAGCTAATTGTACCCATGGCTGCTTGTTTTCCTTATTTTTCTGTGGCAATGATAAAACACTACAGCCCAAAGCAACCTAAGGGAGAGAGAATTTATTTTGACTTATGGTTCCACAGAGATAGTAACCCATCATATCAGGTAAGCATGCCAGAAAGAGCAGACATGGCAGCAGGAGCAGACAGTAAGCTCATATCTTCACAAGCAGAGAGTGGACTATAAATATGGCGAGATTATATACTCTCAAAGCCTGCTCCCAGAGATACCCTTCAAGCAGCAAGGCTATACTACCTAAAACTCCCCAGAGAGCATCACCCACTGAGAACCATGTGTTGGAATACCTGAGCCCAGGGATAATATTTCTCACTCAGACCACCACAGAAGCTTACTGGATAGATCACACACACTGAAAGGGGTGAAGATCTGGGTTGTCAGGAGTCTTACAGAGAGCAGATAGAATGCTAGGCCCCCATTTGATTCTAGCTGGTAGAGATATGGACTCCCCTGAAGGAAGGATCTAGATTCATCTCCCAGTGTTAACCTTTGAAGGTATATATATACTTAGACAGCTTGATTTCTGATGAAGGTGGTTTCTGACTGAGAAAGGGACAATATTGCTCTAATTCCAATTAATTTATCATGTGCATCCTTGAACGGTACTTGGAGCCTCATTTCCTATGCTAAAGAGCAACATAGCCAAGTATTCACGAAAAAAAGTGAATCAGAAATAAGTAACTCTGGTGAGTCAATAGTTGAGGATATGATGGTGCTGTGGAAGGCCAGAGATGTTCGCTGGCTGAGGTCTGGGGGAGGTCAGGCGAAGAATATGTAATCTAAATTAAGTATCGCCCAAAATGCCAATCTTGATGTCTGCAACACCTCCATAAGAGATTCATGAAACATCAAGCCTAATTGAGGCTTTAAGAGAAATGCAGCATGGTGTAGCAGAACTACACCACCATCCCCTTGCCCTGTTCATCCATCCTGGAGCCTGACTGGCTAGGCCTGTTGGCTTGTTCTCACTGTCCAACATCTTCATAGATTGTTTAAACATTATAGTGAGGGAAAAAATCTACTAAGTCAAATGAGGATGTCACATTCATGTTTCTGCTTAGGGCTTGTATTAAAATAGCCAGGATCCAAGAAGTAACTTAATACACAATTTATAATATTGGAGAGTGTATACTGTGCAGGCGGTGTCTGTGGCATATAGAATAATCTGCCATTTTAGACCATACAGATAATCCTGAATCTCTCAGCATTTGAACTTGAATTTGAGTCAGTCTCAGTTTGCTCCTGAATGTCTCTTGGCATCTGACTCCAAACACAACAAATCAGCAGAACAGCACAGGGTCTGTGCGTGAGGGTTATGGTTAGTGATGGGTTAAAGCTCCATTCTATCACTCATAAACGTTCCTTCTGACTAAGGAACTTTTCATCCTAAACATATAGGAGAATATAGATCACAGGTTAAATGATCTATACTGAAAAGTCACTTCTCAGGTTCCTTCTCCAGATGCCAGCACTTCATGAAACTGAGTGATAATTAGACCAATAAATAAATAAAAGAATCTAGCAAAAGAAAAAAGAAAAAGAGAAAAGGAAACTATGTATTTAGTGAGACACACATATGTACACACATACATGCATATACAAACATACATACGTACACACAGACATGCCCTACACATGCATATATGCTATACTTTGGAAGTGATATGTACTAAACTTTCATGAGCCTTTCACCATTCTGTGTCCCATCCTTCAGCCAAAAATACTTTCAGTCAGGCAGAGTAAGGGAGTGGCTAAAAGTACAGATCTTTGCAACTAGTATTCTAGTTCATTCATTCTGGATGGCTTTTAGAGTATCTATTCATTCATTCTGGATTACTAAAAGTATTTAGTAATACTTTTAGAGTATTACTAAAATTTTCTGATTTTTGTTTTTTCAGATACAAAGTAAGATATTAAAATTCATCCTTAATGATGAGGTAATATGAACCAAATGAGCTAATGTACATAAAGTATCTCATATAGTGTTTGACATATAACTATTATTGACTATGTGTTTATAGGCACTATTGTTTTATTGCCCACCTGGCTGTTGTGTTGTTTTGGCCTTTATTGTTATAATGGCACCGACACCTCACCATGCTGATGCCATGCTCTGTGGTGACGTTCATTGTAACAGATGTGTGCCATGGCACCAAAGCAGGAGGTAGAGTATACGGTCCAGTTGGTTCTCACCTTGCCCGTGATAGTTCACTCATTCTGCAATAAGCATTTTCTTTGGAGAATTCATGTGGCTTGAATTCATGCAGCTTGCCTCCAAATATGTAGTCATTTCTGATTGCCATACACCCAGCAACTAATTTTCTTTCCTCCTTCCCTCCCTCTCTCCTTTTCTTCTTCCCTTCCCCCAACTCTATCTTACTCCCTCCCTCCATCCTTCCTTCGTTCCCTCCCTTTCTCCCTCCCTATCTTTGTTCTTTCCTTCTCTCCTGTCCTGTTCCTCCCTCCCTTCTTCTCTTCCCCCGTTTCTTTCATTTTGATATTGTGATGAGTGTGGAAAGTTTAATGTCTTCTATTAATATAAAGTGTAAAAATTATACCCAAAGTCTTGTTTTGTTAATGAGGTATGTGGAAAACATGAAGAGACATAAGGCTGTTGGAGAATGCTTACAGCATCCTGTAAGCAGAAAATATGATCACATATGAGATTCATTTCTTACCTGGATTGCCTGTGGTCAGTAATGATTTTCTCCTCTGGCTCCATGCTGCTTGATTCATGCCACTTGTTTCTGGTTTCCAGAATAAAAAGTCCAAAGGTATCCAGAAATAACATTTATTAATCAACAATAAAGCACACAATAGAAAAGGCCTTATAAGTAAAACTATATATTTATAATGCTTTATTGGTTTTGGTCCAGAACTCCACAAAACACTACAGACAGTAACAAAATAATTCAATAAATGTTAAAAACTTCCAAGATAATTATAAGATGCTCTTTATCATATATGAGCATTGTCAATACCATGACCATTAGATACATTAGTCAACACTATCATAGATATCTTTCTTGAATAAAGAACATATGTTTTTAAATCTGGGAATCATAACATTTACACAAATCCATACATAACATAACAGCTCAGAATAAGTGAAGCAGACCCCCAAAATGATCTGGAGTCATCTGCCTGTACATCACTTAAAGATATTACACTGTTAACAGGATAGAGATCAACACACTTAAGAGAAATGTAGGGGGTTCACTTGGGGGAAAGAAGGGAGATTGGGCATTAAAGCTGTTTACATGTTTTCCATGGCCCTCTTGGCAAGATGCTCCCTTCCCTGCTCTGCCTGTTCTTGATTGAGGTACTCCAGCACTTTCAGGAGCATATCTTCATCCAGGTACTGCCTGCTTGGAGTGTCCTCATTCTTCAGGGATCCTACAGGGATCCTTTTGCTCACCTTGGCCAGTTTCTCCATTTCCTGGGAGCTTCCTTGACCGAGATGCTCCTTGATGGCCTGTTCGAGCTGCTCTTCTTCTTGGATGTCATCTTCTGAGGAGCCTGGGCTGGGCACTCTCTTCAGCTGGTTGGTATTCATAAGCTCAGGGTACTTAACTAGCATCCTGGCTAAGTATTCTCCCAATTCCTGGTCCTTATCATTCAGATTTTCATAGGGTGCTTGTCTGCTTTCAACATCTGGAATCCAGGCTACTTTGGGAATCTGGTTGGCTCTAGATTTCCCAGGACCATAAGGAAGCCTCAGCAGAGCCTTGTCTCGGCTATATTGGTTGGGAAAATATGGGGACTTCTGATTTGCTACATTCTCCATCCCTAAAACATTTAAAATGTCCTCAACACTGAGCCCCTCAGGCAAGGCCTCTATCATACCACGACCAGGTGCCTTGGGATACCCACTCTTGGAGAGCATCTTACTTTGAAACATGTCTGGACGGTCTATGTCAGCCTCTGGGATGTCATCTAGGTCAACAGCAAGCTCCAGATCCTGCTCTGGCTCCACCAACCCATTTGGCTTCTCTCCAGCTTTGAGCATCTCAATTAAGTCTTCAGGGGGTATCTGCAAATTCCTAGAGATTTCAATCAGCTGATAAATAGACTGAGAATCAAAGGGCTTCTCAAGAAGCCTGGCTGCCCTGTCCCCATTTTGCCCATTCTGTGACCTCCCACTGCCCACAGCATTCACTAACCTTCTCAAGTAGGTGATGACTTTGGCGGCATCCTCTGAGAGTTGGTCTTTACTCTCTTTCCGGTTATCTTCATCAGGGAGCCCCAACTGCCCTGAACGTTTCATCTCTTCGTTGATTTGTTCGTTTTTTTCTGTGTTCTCTTTGCTGTCTCTCACCTCTTCCTGGGTTTGAGTCTCTATTTTCTCCTCTATGGGGCTCCAGTCTTCTCCTCCCACCACATCTTCATAGGCAATGTTGTTGGTCTTGTACACGTCATCTTCATCATCCGTGTAGAGCTTTTGTTCGTCATCAACCCTCTCACGCTTCTGGTTGTTTGGCCCTGTCAGTTTCCCAAGCTCTTGGAACACAGACTCCAGGGTAGCAAGACTTTGAGGTGTGTATTGTTCTTCGACTATTTCATTTGTGCGTTTGAAGGGGTTTTCTCTGGAATTCTCTTCATACATGAGAGGGAACCGCATGTGCTTGAGTTTCCTTTCAGGCCACTGTTGAGTCTCATAGTCATCAGGCGTATCCACGGGAAAGTTCTTCTCCAGATTCAAGGCATAGGGCTTGTTTTCTTTGGGGGCAGATGGCGGCTCGTTTTCAGCCTGCCTCAGAGCCTCGAGTATTATCCGCATCCACTCGTCTTCACTCAGTATATCCCTTGAGCTCTCTGCCAAGTGACTTTCTTCTCCGTTTTCTTTGAGTTGAAGAGGAACAGAGATGCCTTGGTAGGGATTGTAGTCTGGGCTGCTTTCTTCTCTGTGAGCTTGCTGCCTGAGCTTTTCTATGTACTCCAAAGCCCTGATCATTTCTGGACTAGGAAACTTTTGGACATTCTCCAATCTGAGGTCTGGTTCTCTCTGAAGCAGCTGGTTTCGCTGGAAGGAAGCTGCTTCGGCTCCAGAGACGAGGAAAATTAAGTGGATAAGAAGCAGAACTGCTCCGAATCGATAAGCCTTAGCCTCAGCCATGTCTTAAGGATTTCCTGAAAACATAGAAAATATGAATTATCACAAATGATACAACCTGGAAGACACAATGGGAAGAAAAGAAAAACACAAGCCACAATGGAGAATGGAAAAGAAATAGTTTAATATTACACCTAGGAAAACTATTTAAAGTTGATGAATATTTCCTGTATGATCATCATATACTAACCATAGGAATCTACAGGAAAACCATTACTCATTTGTATCAAGCTTGTCTGACATTCTCTTGAAGAAAACATTGACAGGAAGCTTTTCAAATTTTGTGTCTTTCATTTACTCTTTTCAACAAAAAGACTTTCTAAAGCATTGTAATTTCTTCAAATGGCATTCTATTAAAATCTATCTGAAAATAATTTCTTGTGACACATGTACATATACATATAATTATCCCATAAGATTGTGTCAAAATAATAGCCCTTTTGATGTATACTCTGGGTTAGACATCCAATTTTGTTGTAGAAATGCGACAGCTATATAAGATGATGCATTGTAACATATTAGTGTCAGTAACACTGAATACCTTGTGCATGGGTACTGGTCAACTCACTGAATGATAAATCCAGCAGGTAGCTACTAATCCCCAGAACCTGAGTCCTCCCTGGTCTCAGTTAGTATACTAAATCAAGGAAGCTTTTTGTGGAAGCCTGAAAAATTAATAACCTACACTTTTAAATTTTTCAATGTGCCTATCATCAAATAATTGTATTATGGCTGACTTACAAAATGCAATTACGGTTATATTTTTCATCTTTCCTCTAGTGTATAGTAAATAAACAGATGCTACAGAGAGAACATAAGTTTAGTTAACTAGTCTATTTCTAAGCTTTTGAGTGCTCAGATTCAGTTTGTCTTATGTCTCTGTCTATTTTTGTAAGGACCTGTGAAATCTTAAATGACTCACACACACTGTTAGAAAAATCTGAAAATAACTACTATGTAACTCCCAATTTAGATAAACACAGACGATGTGTTGTATTCTTCCTACTTAAAAAAAAGAAAAGAAAAGAAAAAACCAATTCATTCATTTTTCTCTCCAATATTTTTAAAATCTCACAGATGTATTAGTAAGAGGAATCATTTGGATGTTTCCTGTTGGCATTGCTGAAAGTTGGAGAAGCTATTTCAATCCTTGCAAATTCTTTTGTAAACAAATGCATTAAATAAATTTATAAGTTTATTCATGCCTTCAATGAATCCTGGTTTGTGACAAATAAGCAAAGTTATGTGAAAATAATTTCCTGTTAGATTAAACATCAAGGTATTGCTTAACAGATCTTGTTGATAATGAATGATATAATTTTTATAGCTGTCAATAGGTTGTAGGGACAGAAACTTCCTTTGCATAGATACATAGGCTGATTAAAATTACCACCAAGTAGGTTATTTAAGCATACACAGAATGTTTTCAAAATAAACAAATGCTTACTTCTAGAAACTGTATTAATTATCCTATGAGTGATATAATGAAGTTTAAATAAAGGTTCTACGTATATAATATATATTTCATATTACTTCAGGATTGATTTAGCTTTGTGAATCAGGTTTCACCACTGTCATGTCAAATGTTATCTTGAAAACCATATTGCATTTGCTTTAAGATCATTATCTTGACATATTAACAAATCTTAACATATGGATTACATGATTATCTGTGAAGCCACTACTTTGAAGGGAGGTTTTTCTGTAGAATTAGAGAAAGAATGCTCTTTGCAGTTTGAACCACAGCCTAGCAGGCATGCCCATCTCGTCACTGACTCTGGTTTACTTTGGATGACACTGTTATTGCTTCCAACACTCTAAGGACTTCATTTCCCCAGGAGCTTCCCTTGCAAGCAGTGAAAATGGCTTTAATAGTTCTAACATCTTACACAGTGTCTGATTTAAATCTTAATTTTATGAAGTCTAAGTGGTAGGAACATTGTGTCTCCTCGGACAGCTATTACTGACTCCCCGTACAGTAAAAACGTCTTTCTTATGAAATCAGATGGAACATTGACACTGAACCATAAACACATGTGAATACATCTGATTTAAACAATCCACCTAGTTAGGATAAACAGAAATAAATTTGTTTCAGTCAATCTCTTCAGCAAGTAACACATCAGCTTTTCCAACCAACGCATAAAAATTACAATCATAGTCTATACCCATCTATATATTTTCTTCCTTGGATTCAAAGTTATCATTTCTCTGTAATTCATAGTAACATAAACCTTTCCTCCAAAGTAATAGTTCACCTTTGAAAAGGGAAAAATATCAATGTTCAAAATTATTCTAAGCTGCTTTCTAAGGACTAAAATTAGCACATAATAACATAAGCCCTTCTGGAATATACTAGTTCATAAAATAATTAATAATTAATTTAGAGTTCCCATAAGGTAAATATCAAAGAAAAAACAAATTAATTTTTTTGCCCCTGTGACTCATGATTAATGACATTTGAATCCTTGTAAACTGACTGTTAAGATTATTAAGCATATAAATTATATTCTTGGTTCTATATCTGACTCTTGGGAGAAAAACAACACAGGAAAAGAATCAAAACATAAGGTTTGGTTAACTTTACATTAATCAGCATGTTGACATTAAAATTCTCAACTTTTCTCCTCTCCTTGCATACTGTTTTTCTGAATAGCATTATAGTTAATGCATGTTCTCTGACAAGTCCTGTAAATGACAGAATCCCTCATTTAGGCACACATGTAGAGTATCCATGCCTGAAAAGCAGCAGGTTGTCCGGTTATTCTATCAATATAAGCTTGTCAACGGTTTTTCTCCTCTCATCTGGAAAAACAGTGAGGGACACGCAATTGAGAACTTTCCAGTAAATAGAAGAGAAAGCAGTCTTACCTCTGTCTTATGTTGTGTGGAAGGCTCCAAGCATGCTCCTCTGCTGCTGAGTGAGGGCTCGGGCCGTTTCAGCACCGGACAGCTCCTCGGCTTATAGAGAGCCTGGGCGCCTGACTCCGCATTCCACGCTGACGTCACCGGCTCAGCCTCAAACCCCAGCGCAGTCGAGCTTTTTCAAAGAATCCGAGAGAAAACAATCACTTTAGATATTTTTTTAAAGCGTTGCATGCTTACGCCACCTGTCTTATGTAGAAAAAACTACAGCTTTCTTTTTTTTTTCTTCTCTTTTTATCAGAATCTCTGAGGCTCGAAATAAAATGTTCAGCACAAATTCACTTAGAAAGAAAGAAATCTGTCAGATAGACATGACTAATTGGAAGGACATCTCATCTGCGTTTTCACGCCTTGTTTAGAAGGGTTTCTTGCGATTGCTATCATGTCGTAAGAATTTTACAGATAATAACTATCTTTTTATTTGTGCCCATAAAGAAATGCGTTCTCATTTCCTGGTGCAGCCACAATTGAACAGAACATTGCAAATATGAAAGATCGTATTTCATGTCATGACTCTAGGCAGAACTGTTTTAAACCTCTGGTTTGTTTGAGCAAAAAAGGTGATATGCTTATTTTTATATGAGAATCAACTCAAATAGTTTTAGCACAGTGCTCAAAACGCATGTTCATAGACACTCAAGTTGTTCATACTTCTATAGGAGTCCGTTCAAATCTTCATCAATATCTGGTGTTGCAAGGGATAGCTAAGAAACTGTGTGCTCGAAAAAACATGCTGCCTACCAGGAAGGGGGCAGGGTTACTATTATGAGAGAGAGAGAGAGAGAGAGAGAGAGAGAGAGAGAGAGAGAGAGAGATTTTGTATGCATAAAACCCTCTTGCTATCAATAGAACTACAGAAATACACAAATACTTTTAGGTTTTGGTTGAATAAGTTGAGGTGAATGACTTCAATGGATGAGACTCATCCATGGAACAATGTAGGAGTTAACTCACTGCTTCTTGGATTTATAATTCATAACCATGGCTGTGCTTTGCCATGGAACCTGATTAGGTACTTTAATAATTTATATAGGTCTAAATTTTTAACTTTATTATATTAAAGATGTGACTTCTCTAACCCTGTATATATTGAAATATATATTTGAAAAGGTGAAAGAATCTTGTTGTATGAGGTCCTCTAAAAGTCTTTGCTGAGTGAACAATCACATTCCAATTTTATCTACCCACCAACTGAGTTATAATGCTTATGAAGTGCCAGATATTTTGTGGACTACTGGGAACAGAAAAATGTATATAGCTTTCTGGATTTAAGAAGGCTTTAGTCAATGGGAAGGAAAGGTAGATTATTTTAATATACATTGGAAACCACTAAAGAGAAGGCTATTCAGAAGGCTTTGAAAGTTTTGTGGCTTACTAGTTGATTTTCTGTAGTAATTGAATATAATGAGGTAAGACCTCCAACTAATAGGCCCTAAGCTGATCTCTTATTAGGTTTGTAAGACTTCCTACTATACAAAACACTGTTGAATTGTTCAAAACTTATGAATATGAAATAAATACTAAAAGACTTAAAAACTTATGAAGTTAAAAATCTCATAGAAGGTAGTCCTCACTGATCCCTATTTTCTCTGGGAAAGAAACGTAATTTTCCTCAGTGATGAGAGACCATCACACATGGATTCACATGGAACTCACTGGTACGTTCTGGGGCTACACACCTGATGTACTGTTGTATATTCATGCTTCACAATGAGTTTGTAGATCACGGTCAAGTACTAGGTTGAAAAGACTTGAGTATACAAGGCTTGCTTATCAAGGCAACATTTGAGCAACATGAGCTCATTCATTTGGATTTTAGCTTTATACACATATGATATTCTCAAAGACTAACAAAGATGGTCTGGGTTTCACTTAATTTTTTAAATTTATTTGTTTGTTTGTTGCTTATTTATTTTACATCCCACTCCTTTCACTTAATTTTCTGCTTAGCAGTTCTATATGATTAGTTGAACTTACCAGTATCAACACAGCTCTAGAAATTCCACATGGTTAATTACTCTTAAATAGTGAGGAGATTCAGCATAGGTCTAAAGCACCATCCAAAGATCACTCTTATCTGGGTTAATTCACTCATATGCTGCTTAACTTATTAGGCAAAGACCAAAATCCATAGTATTTTGAAAGTCCTAAAACCAGTGTCTTACCTACAAATGTCTTTAATAATCAAAAGGACAGGTTTAGTGGAGATGGCTCAGTAAAATACTTGCTACCCAAGTATGAGGACCTGAATTCAATCTGTTGCACCCATGGATGAGCCAGGTACATAGCATATTACTTCTACCCCTCCCGCCAGCACTGGGAAGGCAGAGACAGATTCCTGTGACTTGCTGGAGGAATCCCAGGATGATTTTGCTAAACCATCAAGCTCCAAATTCAGTGAAAAGAAATAGGAGGAGAAAGAGAAAGAGGAGGAAGAGCAAGAGGAGGAGCAGGAGCATGAAAAGAAGGAGAAGAAATTGCAGTAGCAGTGATAGAGCTCAATTGAGGAAGAAACCAAATGTGAATCTCTGACCTCCACACCCATGCATACATACACAACCACAAGAACATACATATGAGTGTACATAAAAGTAATCCACAATTTATGCAGAACTCTGTCCAAGTGTTCAAGCAGTAAGATGCCAGGTGTTGGTCACTGAGATAGCCTACTAGCTCCACCAGGGTTAGGATGTAGGAAGAGCAATGAGCCATTGGTAGGTAACTGAGCTCCCCTACTTTATGATGCTAATGATAGATCCCTGTTTTTACAGTGATTCATTATGTCTTACGCATCATACTTTGAGCCTAGTTTAATATTCCTAAAATCTATTCTACAAAGTAAGAAACTGTGGTTCATAAATAAATAAATGGACCATGATTTCCCAGCTCACAACTGGTAAAGAAAAATAGTAAGATTTAAACCTAGATCTTTCCATCAATGTGTCCGATGAAGATTGTGATTCAGGCACAACCTAGGTGATGTCAGCATAGGAATGAGTAAGGCATTAAAGACACAAGATTAAGATGTAGTTACTTAGAGAAAAATTGTCAAGGACTAGGTAGTCCATGACACTGTTGAGGTGACAGGGCTTAGACTGCTGTCCAGAGTAGTAGAAAGGCAAAGCAATAATTAACATCAGATTATCTCTTCGATATGGTGAAATATACTATCTTCTAAACAACCAGGCTCTTGCAAATTTTGGAAAACACTATTCACCAGCCTGGTGTCTTTTTAACAATTTCTCTCGTGTGATACATTCTTCTTCTAAATTGTGAGATTTTTGCCAGTCCTTATTGCTTCTAAATGGAGATATTCCCTAAGAGAAATTTCTTTAGGGAAGGAGCTAAAACGCAATGATATGCTGAAAAGCAACCTTTTTATGGATGTGAAATATTTGAGCATGTGCAAAGCACTAAAAATAACCTAGACATCTCTTACATCACTGAGCCTGAGAGAAGACCTTTCTAAACATTTCTTACAAAAAGAAATTTAATTTTCAGTTCAGTCTAAGTTCCCAACTCTCATAGCCTCCGAGAAATGAATCTTCGTATCATGAACATTTCAACATAATTATGCACTATGTAAGATAATGGTTTTTACTAAATTAGCTTACAGCCTCACCATGGTGCCACTAAGTTCAAGCTAATCATTCACCATTTAGGTAATTAGGATAAACTAATTTATTTCTACCGTCAGAATCTCTTTACGTTTTGGTCACTTTATTGTGATCCTGAATTTGATATTCATGTAGACTGAGATTTTGATTTTCCTAATATTTTACTAGCAAACCCCTGCCTCAGCAACATTTTTGACACAAAGCCATTCTCTCTTCCACTTCATTTCATTTCTCATTTCAGTTCAGTTTACATGAAACCAATTAAGATTCAGGAAGTCAGTGTGTCTTGTAACTCCTCTTTTTCTCCTGTTCTTCCCTGTTCAACATCCTTCCTCCGCCATCTGTCTTTTAAAAGAGATGCCTCTAGTCCTTGAGCTCCATCTCCGATACCCACGAATCCAGCTCTTCTACATTTTCCAGACTATGACTGGGCAAGGAGGGCTGAGCCTCCCAGTCCTCACCTGTCACTCATTGCTTATTCCCACCCCTCTGACTCCTTCTAACTTCTGGGTTCCTCCAACTTTCTGACCACTAGTGTGCTCCTTGTCTCCTGCAGGCTTTGCTTCCAGAGTTTGCCTGAACTTCTTTTAGGAACTGCTTATTATTTTAAGCAAATGTTCCGGTCATAAGATAGAGTCTTTTAAGATTTGCGATGGGGCTGCAGAGATGGCGCAGCAGTTAAAAGTATATACTACTCTTGAAGGAGACCCAAGTTTGTTTCTTAATACCCACATCAGAAGGTTCACAGGTGCCTATAACTCCAACTTCAGAGGATCTGCCACCCTCTTCCAGCTTCTGTGGGCTTATAAGCTCATGCACACATACCCACAGAGAGACACATACACATAATTAAAGATAAATTTTTAAAATATGGTGCATTAAAGTATTTTCTATTTCCCTTGAAAAAATAGAAACATGATATGTTTTTATTTAATTGCTATATAGCAATACCCCAGATAAAATCCAACTGCTGCTGGGAAGTATGATCTCTGTCCACTCTATACCCCTGTACCTATCACAGAGCCTTGAATATAAACGCTGTCCAAAAACACATTGTGTTTAGTTGAAGTCAGGTTTTTCTCCTTTCTTCTTCCAAAGCTTTAAAAATTTCCTCTTGGAAGTGTTTAATGTTTTCAAAGTGTCTTTATGCAAATGAACTGTCTTTATTCATCTAGGCTGCAAGTAATGCTAGTAAATCAAATGTAGACTTTTTTTTTTTTTTGCTTAAAAAGGGAATTTTCCTTCACTAGAGAAACTATGTTCTTCTAAACTCTCTCTTAGTTGGCAAAATGTTTTTCTAGTAGTTGAGTTAGAAACTGAACATAGGAGTAAAATGGATCCTTCCTTAGCAATACTCTTTGTAAGTCTGGTACTTTTTCATCAATTTCCCTCCTTATC